CCCTCAGCCCTAGGAAACAGGTAATGACAAACCACATCCCCCCAAAAAATACCCTTTCCAAGCAAACTATAGGGACTTGTTCAGGCATTAAAACAGGAGTCAAAGCCTGACTTGAAGGCACCCACAAAAGTTAAAGATTGGAAGTTGAAGTGCAATGAACCTAGTGGGCACCAGGTTGGAGAAGTCTTGCATTGGAAATTAAATGGACAATGCATTTTTTAAAAAAAGGATCTGGGAACAGGCTGCAATAGATGCAAAGACAGTAGAGGCCAGGTAAATGGCTAAATGGACAGAAAGGTGTAAAAAATAGTAGAGAGGACCCTGCATTTGAACAAGGTTGTTAAGATTTAGCCTCTGATGTGGTTTAAAATTCACAGGTTCAGCTTTGGAACTCATAATCTTTGAACAAGGAAGGAAGGAAGGAAGGAAGGAAGGAAGGAAGGAAGGAAAGAAAGAAAGAAAGAAAAAGAAAGAAAGAAAGAAAGAAAGAAAGAAAGAAAGAAAGAAAATATATCCTTAGTAGCAACTCCAGAGAACCAATATGAAGACACCAGACTTATATTCTTCTCAGGGGATCTTATTAAAATGTTAGTACTGAATACCAAAGATGGTGCAGACAACCTCTGGGGTCAGAGGAGGAAAAAGAGAGACAGCAAACTTTGTTCCAGCTTAGAGACTGCTAACAATTTATGCACATGAAGATTCAGAAATAGGATGTTTGTGCACTTTTTATTCATGGCTAGGCATTGCTCATCAACTGCAATCCCTCTGTGCTGTAGACAAATTGAACTGGATGCAAGTCAGAGTCGGGAATTGGGGCATGAAAAAATGCTTTAGTTCATCCTAGGAGAAGACCTGATTTCGTGGGGGAGAGGGCAGGGATGGACATTGTGGGGGTGATGGTCATTGGGGATAGAATAGAATAACAGAGTTGGAAGGAAACTTGTAGGTCATCTAGTCCAGACATGTCAAACACAAGGCCCGGGGGCTGGATGCAGCCCGTGAAGTGGTTTCATGTGGCCCGCGAAGCCATCCTGGAAACAGTGAGGGAACGGCCCCCACTGACTTGGCCCTGGCCCAGGCCGATCGGGAGCCAATGTACAATTTTGTGGTGGCCATCTATGCTGAAACGCATTCAGTCTTAGCTCCATAAGACACCCCCCCCCCGCATGGCCTGAGAGGAACAGTGAGGCTCCTCCAGTGGACCATGCCTTGGCACTTGCCCTGGTCCCACCCCCTTCTGCCAGAGACCCTCAGATCTATCCCACTCCTGCCCAGGCCCCCACAGGCCCCCTTGACGTGAACGATGTAGAGCTGGCCATGCCCACCCAGTAGGCCACACCCACTCCATCCACGCCCACCCAGTAGGCCGCACCCACCCTGGCCACACCCACCCAGACCCCTGAGGGCAACCGCAATGCTGATGCGGCCCTCAATGAAATTGAGTTTGACACCCCTGATCTAGTCCAACCCCTCACCCAAGCAGGAGAAATCTCTTCTTAGCTTCATAACAGTTTTCATAACTGGAAAACATTTTCTCAGTAATTGAGAAAATTATCAGAGCTCTGATAAAGTCTGAAAATGTTGATCTAAATGACCCACCTAGAGCAGTGCCATACCTGGAATGTAGAGATGACAAATGCTTTCTTAATTGTTTGGTTTCCACTGTAGAGGTCCCTGCTTGTTTAATTGTGTCCACACAGATGCACATAAGCATAGAATTAGCAAACTGCAAAACTAGAGCTTCCCCAGAAAATAAAGGTCAGAACTCTGCAGTGCTCACAGACATAAGCAATTAAGCAACATCAGGCAAAATGCAGGAAACCTCCCCCCCCAATATCTATTAAAATGTTAATTTTAATAGTAATTTTAAAAGTAATGAATACACAATAATTCAGATAAAATGTACTTATATTTGGGAAAGACAGGACAGAAGAAAGGAAGGAAGAAAAGGGAAGGAAGGAAGGAAGGAAGGAAGGAAGGAAGGAAGGAAGGAAGGAAGGAAGGAAGGAAGGAAGGAAGGAAGGAAGGAAGGAATAGTCTGGAGAAAATGGAGTTTTCTATCAAAGGAGTTTAGGAAAGTGGATTGAACCAGCATGAATTCTATTCCATCCGTATACTAGTCTACTATTTCTTTTGCTTAAGCAAGCCAGAAGGAAAATGATAAGTGTGAAACAAAGGAAGGAGTGTGTGTGTCTCTGTGTGTGTGTTTATATATACAGTATATGTGTGTGTGTGTGTGTGTGTGTAGCTGAAAGTCTGAGATGGAGTTGCTATTTACCCTTCTGCCCTTCAAATGTTTGGAAGCTCTTGGGGCTTTTTATACTCCATCCTTAATATTGCCTGTGGTCCTAATAGAATGAGAATTGAAGATGTGTTTATTAAAAGAGAAAGCACGCAACACTTTCCATTTCTTACCCCTGGGCTGAATTAAAAAGTTAGCCCCACATTTTTTCCCCAGTGTATTGCTCCTTCAGAGGCATTAATCAAAAGTGTACGATAGGCAATCTGCTTTGTATTTGTCATCTCATTTTTCTTTTCCAAATTTGCAGCCCCAAATAGTCTGCACAAAGTACTCATTGAGAATTGCGTATTTGGCACTCTTAACATTTTCTTCCTCTTTGATTCCATCTTTTATGGATAAAAGTACTTCTCGACTTACAACCACAATTGGGACTGGACTCTGTTAAGTGAGCTGTGCCTGATTTCATGACCTCTTTTGCCATGATCATTAAGCCAATCATATGGCCGTTAAAATGAACCATATGTTAAGTGAATCCAGCTTTCCCCATTGACTTTGTTTGTTTGAAGTTGCAAATAGTGATCATATGTCACTGAGATACCCCAACCATTGTAAATATGGGCTAATTGCCAAGCGCTCAAATTTTGATCATGTGACCACCTTGTAACTTCAAACGTTCATTAAATGATGGTTGTAAGTTGAGGACTACCCATGGAAGACAAACCACCAATGGATAATATGTCTTCTAATACATCCCCTTTTGGAATTTTCTAAGTCAATGTTGGAAGTCACACACACCTTCCCCCAGAGAAGGAAATATTTTGGGGAATATTAAAAAGGCAGAATATTATATTTCCCCAAAGGATCTTAAAGGCAGAAAAGAAGGCCCAGTTTTCCTTAATAGCCCCAAACAGAAACTGAGCAGGCCAGCTTTGTAAAAATGCAGATTTGATCATCCCATTCAGAAAGACTCAGGCCCCATTCATCAGCAAATACTACCAGGCAGAAGCCCATTCAAGACAAAACATTTTGAAATCCCTTGCAGCAAAACTGATAGCTAACAATAGCAGAGTGATAGAATTAGAACCAGCAGCCCCTCACCTAAACATCCAACACAGGACATAGCCATGAGCCCTAACCCCAGAGAAGCAGGACATGACCTTTAGGACATAATAAGATTAACCCAGCACCATTAGAATACCAAAAGGGCACACTGAATCTCAGGTCAAAATTCATGCCACAGGAACAGGAACAACTCCAAACACAAAAGCCCAAGATGGTATAAAACCCACCACTCCCAGCTCCATGTGTTCAGCCACCCCAGAAGCACATGCTGTGTCACTGAAGTTTCTGGCAACTCAATAAAGAATCTTCCTTCCAAATAGCCTCCATTTTCTTTATTCCCAGCTTGGACTGGACCCTGATGGTTTTTCTTTCAACATCAGTGTCTCTCAATCTTGGCAACTTGAAGATGTCTGGACCTCAATTGAAGTTGAAGTTGAAGTTCAGACATCTTCAGGTTGTCAAGGATAAGAAACACTGTCCTGGGAGACATCTGATTGTGTGGTTGAAAGAAAGAGCAAGATTATGTCTTTATCAACTTTCTTTCCTATGGTATCTTCCCGATGCGGTAAAAGGACAGTTGTGAGACTTGTAGAAAATTTTGGGACCTTTTATCCTTTCCCTTGGGAAGCCTAAAGTGGCTTCATCTTTATCATCTTCACTGCTTTGACTGGTTTGATTGAAATATAATTTTAATTCTGCTTTGATTGTATTTTAATTTCATTGTGATAGTTAATGGAAGTTATTCTAAATGGCAATGGATGGTTGAGTGGAACAAAATATGGTGAGGTGGAAAAAGAAATATTCATCAGTTATGTGGTTATATGTGCAGTCAATAAATATTAACAATTAACTATAAACAATTAACCAGTGTAACAAATTGCCTTCAGAAGTTGTGGGTGCTCCATCACTGGAGGTTTTTAAGAAGAGACTGAACAGTCACTTGTCTGGAATGGTATAGGATCTCCTGAAGAATAATCCCATATTAAAATTGACATTGATCATTAGTCTTCATTGTGTAACAAAGTATGCCACGAAGCTAAATGCGTAAGCCAAATCCACTTTCTGCAACCAATTTGTATCATTCACATTTCTAATCTAGAAGGATATTCTGTACACATTTATACAGTTTTGTCTGAAAATGTATCCCTTGAATATTGGAAAACTATCTCATTTGTAATTACATCAGAATTGGTTTACAGAAATCTTTTTTGCAGGTATTATATTAGGTCAGTGGTTTTTGACCTGGGCAATTTCCCAATATGTGAACTTCAATTTCCATAATTGTCTTGTCAACGTGGTGATTGTTGAGAATGGTGACAACCAACGTTCTGGAAGTTGTCCAAGTTGGGAAATTATTACATTAGATTTATGGCAATCAATACATTATCCAGTCATCCAAAATTGGATTTCTCTTTGTTGATGACCCTCAAAACTATGCAGAGTACATGTTTACAAATGGCATTAAAATAATCTGGTACAAGCAACCAAGAATATCTAAAAAATAAATGAATGTTCCTATCACCAGATTTCATTATTAGATAAAGAAGGAAAGATTTGATTTTCATTTATTAAAAAAACAGAATTACACGCCAATGTTAGACATTGTATCAGATGTTGACAGTCACACAATAGAGACTGCTGTCTGGTTATGAAGTCCAGTACAAGGAAATTAAACAATAAAAATAAATTTCTTTTACTTCTCCCATTGAATGTTGCAGTTCTTCAACAGTCTCCACATGGCAATCTTGACTTCCTTATTCCTCAGTGTGTAAATCATAGGATTCATCAAAGGGAAAACCACAATGTGGAGAAAGCCCACCATTTTGTCAAAGGGAAAGTCATAGAAGGGGTGACAGTAGAGGTAAATGGCTGGACCAAACATGATGAAAACAATGATGATGTGAGTGATGCAAGTAGAAGATGCTTTGCTTTTCCCTTGGCTGGCACTTGTCCTCACTTTGATCAGCAGTGCCCCATAGGAAATGAGAAGGAGGATGAAGCATCCAGCAGTTGTAAGGCCACTGTTGATAAACATAACAAATTCTAGACTGTAGGTGTTGGTGCAAGCCAACCTGATTATTTGGGTGACATCACAGAAGTAGTTGTCCAGTTTATTGGGACCACAAAAAGGGAGTGGGCGGATGAGAATGACCTGGGTTATGGAATGCATGAATCCTCCAGCCCATGCAGTCACCACTAAAGCCCAGCAAGCTGGCTTGGTGATTATAGTTACATAATGCAATGGAAAATAGATAGCCACAAACCGATCAAATGCCATGGACATAAGGAGACTGACCTCAGCTCCACCTAGAAAGTGGATGAAAAAAATCTGTGTCAGGCAACCTTTGAATGAGATAGTTTGGCATCCAGAGAAGAGGTTGACTATCAACTTTGGAGGGGCGACACAGCTGTAGCAAATGTCCATCAAAGCCAGATTGGCCAAGAAGAAAAACATGGGAGCTCCTAATCGGGGGTCTTTCCAAATAGTCACAATGATGAGAATGTTTCCAGGAAGAATGATGAGGTAGAAGATCAAGAGGAGGACACAGAGCAAGACTTGCAGTTCCCTGGTCTCTGCTAACCCTTCAAGAACAAACTCAGTGTGGTTGCCTGAGTCCATCCTTTTTGTGTATTCCTGTAGGGGAATAGTGATGGGAATATTAAATGGGAGGAAATTTGTAACAGTCTTCTATACAAACATCTAGGCAAGAGAAAACAGTGTCACTCTTTACTGCTATTCAGTTTTTTTCTTGTACTTTGCAGCCCACATATGATTGTGCCACAAATCCTTTTTTTCTGTTTCTGTACATGGTCGTGTTTACAGCTTTTAAAGTAGTTGTTTGGAAGGCAAGTGTCCACTGATCTACCTAAGTTGTTTACTTTTTCCTCTGTCTGGTCCATCTGATGTTCCATATTCAGAATAATAGAGTTGGAAGGGACCTTGGAGGTCTTCTAATCCAACCAAATGCCACAAAGAAGAGGGAGTCAAGCTATTTTCCAAAGCGCCTGAAGGCAGGACAAGAAGCAACAGGTGGAAACTAACCAAAGAGAGAAGCAACCTAGAACTAAGGAGAAACTTCCTGACAGTTAGAACAATTAATCAGTGGAACAACCTGCCTCCAGAAGTGGTGAATGCACCAACACTGGAAGTTTTTAAGAAGAAACTGGGCAGCCATTTGTCCGAAATGGTATAGGGTTTCCTGCCTGAGCAGGGGGTTGGACAAGATGACCTCCAAGGTCCCTTCCAACTTTATCATTATTATTATTATTAACCCTAGTCCAGGCAGGAAACCCTATACCATTTCAGACAAATGGTTATCTAACCTCTTCTTAAAAATGTTCACTGTTGGAGCATTCACAACTTCAGGAGGCAAGCCGTTCCACAGATTAATTGTTCTAATTCCCTGGAGGTGAGGTCCAATTCATTTCAAACCCAGTATATTGTAACCAGCACCGTTCTGAATAGGACAGGTAAAGATACAATATTTATTGTTAAAATGATCAAAGTCTTTGAACATTCTCCTTGTTCAAATCCCCAGTTGAGAAGGCTTTGTTTTTGTCTACAATAAAGAATTTTACTCTGCAAATTAGAAGTTAAAACTGAACTTACAAGTTGTTGAAGAGGCACTTAATTTCAAACACATCTTTTTGGGGTCTGCTTATAGGAGTTATCTGGAAGGAAAGATCTTTCAAACTCACTGTGCCCTATCGGCCTTCTCAGTTTTATCTAAAATATATTCATTCCTTCATTGAATAGATGTATTCTCAAGTCACCTCTACCCATAAAAAGGTATCCTACTCATAACGTGAATTAGAGCAATCTTTGAAATGTAAATTAAAATATCAAGCAATGGGAGGGCACAAGGAAATAGAAAATAGAATAATGTTAGTAAATAAAATTACTTAGTTCCAAGCACTAAGGGTGGTCTGCATATAGGATTTATCTGGAAGGAGAGATCTTTCAACATTCTTGTGCCCTATGGACATTCTCTGTTATATTTAAAAATGTATTGATTTATTAAGTCGTTATGCCATCCATCTCCCCTACAAGGTGACTTTGTTCCTTCAATGTATATATGTGTTGCCTGCTTTTCAAGTCATCTCTACTCATACAAACTACCCTATTCATAAAGTGAATTAGAGCAATCCTTGAAATGCCAGTTAAAATATACAGCAACAGGAAGGCACATGGAAATAGAAAATGGAATAATGTCAGTAGATAGAACTGTTGTTAAAAATAGTAACACGTCAAGCCTTACCTTAAGCTCTTCTCAGATGTTGCTCCTGACCTTATTTTCACTTTGCTTGTTTCCTACAATGCAATCTCTAGTAGGAATTATATTATGGTTGTTGGCTGATCATCTCTGTTAAATTGGTGGTTGACTAGCTACCCCAAATCATCTCTCAGTAATCATCAGTCGGACCAAGCGCAGAAAATTTCCCCTTCATAGTTGGGAGTCTCTTTCCTTGCTTCCTCCTTCCCTCCTTCCCTCCCTCCCAGTCTTAGAATGAGGTTTGCAGTGGAACTAGAGAAAAAGAACTGAGATGCAAACATGGGTGATTTTTATTTTATTTTAGAGTTAGCTGGGACTAAGTATACATTCTTGGATGGAGGAAAAGTTCAGATATTGTTCTTAACTGCCTGCTTTAGCTGTCCCTGTTTTCTCCCATCAAATGGATCTATTTCCATAAAGTAAATATTCTGAACTTAGAACCATTTTTTTTGTTCAACATCAGGATAGCAGGAACATCAGAAACATAAAAGTATCTATCAATCTATTCAAAAGGAAATACAAAAAATGTATATTAGTAAGCCTATTTAACAAATATCTAAGGATTGGGTTGTTTTTGTTTTTTTCTTCTGAATTTGGAGATCAAAAATTGTTAGTCCAGTATTAAGCAGGCCCAGGATCTATGAGATGTTTTCTCTTTATTGCATTTCAGTCTCATAAAAAACTATGTCCTCTTAAGTCCCCCATTGACAAGGTTGAAAAGAGTGAATGTTCCTAGGTGAACTTCAATACACAATTGGGAAGAGCTTCAATAAACCAATGCATTCTTCTTTGATAGCAGAAAGTAAAGTAAGAAAAGAAAAGACACCATTGGGCCACTACTGAGCAGTATTTACAGAAAGTGAATTCATCCCCTGAATCTCTTGCATAAGTCCTATGTCAGCCTCTCGGTCTCATTTCTTCCAAGGTCTAGTTGCCATTGTGAGTGAGATGGACAGTTGGATGCCTTGGAGAAAATGAGGGAAGGGGAGGATGGGTAAGATGGCCACATACCCAATCTACGTATCAAGTAAGTATTGATCTCCACAAGTATAATACGTCTCCTTTGAGCAAGCTAGAAGATTGTGGGTGTCCCTGGATAAACCGGGCCCTTGTGTACGATTCCTTCCGCTGGTCTCCAAGGACCTTATTAAAAAGTCCACTCTAGACAAACATTTTTGAAAGCAATTCTGCATTAAGTTTATTCTTTGACAGGATTTTCCCAAGCAAACCTACTCTGTAGGTGTCTTAAATCACAGAGCCCATCTATTCAGGTAATGGTGGGATGATGGGAATTATCATCCAATCAATCAAGAGGGTGCTGGCTTCAGAAAGTCTATTTCCATCAATAGCCCTGCTCCTCAAAGCAGTCCCCAGGAACATGTCTCATATTTATTTATTTATTTAATTTATATACCACCTGTCTCACTATCCAGAGTGATATTGCTGCTGCAAAAGGTGATGATGTCATCATGTTGTCTTCTAATGATGTGCCTGGTTTTATATGATTCAGACTGTCCCACTACACATGGTTAGTTTATTTTTTTTTCTGTTTTGTTATATAGTACCATCCCAGGAAACTAGAATTAATTAGCAAAAATGCAACACTGAGCCTATTGTGGAATCATTCAATAAAAGTTTATACATATTAGCAGTAATATATCATTTCTACACAGTTCCACGTCTAATTTAATCTTACCATTTTCAGACTCATAATTCCTCTATCAAGCTTAAATCTTTCTGTCAACTGAGAATAAGGAAACATATAAAGCCTTTCAACTCCATTTTTTTTTCTTTTTTTCAACTTAAAATCTTCTTGGGAAAAAATTAACAAACCAATCTTGTTATGGTTGACTCACAGAGTCATCCTTCCATCCTTCCGAGGTGGATAAAGTGAGGACCCAGATTGTTGGGGGAAATATACTGATTCTGTAAACTGCTTAGAGAGGGCTGTAAAGCACTGTGAAGTGTATATAAGTCTAAATGCCATTGCTATTGCTATTTATCTGCTAGTTTTAATATTCATGAGTAGTCTCCGCATGGCAGTTTGGATCTCCTTGTTCCTCAAGGTATAGATCACAGGGTTCATTAAGGGGAAGACCATAGCATGGAAAAAGGCCACCACTTTGTCCAGTGGGTAATCTCGGAAAGGGTGGCAGTAGATGTAGATGGCTGGACCAAACATGATGAAGATGATAATGATGTGAGTGATGCAGATAGAAGAGGCTTTGTTTTTTCCTATACTGGAGCCCATCCTCACTTTCATCAGCAGTGCCACATAGGATATAAGAAGGAGAATGAAACATACAATGCTTGGTATACCACTGCTAAAAAACATGACAAATTCTAGAGTGTAGATGTTGGCACAAGCTAATCTGATAATCTGGGTGATATCACAAAAGAAGTTATCCAACTCATTGGGACCACAAAATGGAAGTAAAATGATGAGAATAACCTGGATGATGGAATGTATCAATCCTCCAAGCCATGAAATTACTACCATAGCCCAACAAATGACCCTAGTTACCACCATGGTATAATGCAATGGGTGGCAGATGGCTACATACCTGTCAATAGCCATGGCAAAGAGGAGAAACATCTCAGCTCCTCCTAGAAAATGAATGAAAAATATCTGAGTGATACAGCCTAAATAGGAGATTGTCATGCAACCAAAAAAGATGTTGAGGAGCAGCTTTGGATGGGTGACACAGCTGTAAAAGATATCAATCAAGGCCAGGTTGGCCAAGAAGAAAAACATGGGAGATTCCAGAGAGGGATTCTGCAGAATTGTCACAACAATGAGGATATTCCCAGGAAGAATGGTGATACAAAAGAGCAGCAAAAGAACACAAAATAATAGCCGAAATTCCCAGATTTGTGATAATCCCTGGAGGACAAATTCAGTCACTGGTGAATAAGTTTCATTTTCCATCTTTATACCTGTAAAGGAATATAAATTATAGGGAATCAGTGTTAATTTTTTTCCATTTAACCTTTATGCAATTCCAAATATATCACAGCAATGGATCTAGTAGTCCTGGGGACAGTAGGTTTTTAATCCCAGTTGGATCTCAGAGCCTGTCTGGACCATCTGTTTTCCTAGGAACCATTCATTAATATTTCCTTAGGAGGAAATCTAATCTGAAATAGTTATTAGCAGGCTGTATCCTTCCAGATATTCTGGATTTCAGAGTCTAAGATAACCAACCAGAAAGGCTAAATCCTGCCTTACAAGACAATTAGATTTCTATTTTCACTCTTATTGACCATATGGATTGTTGTTCCCACCTTTATTGTGCTATCCTGTTATTGCCATCTGTCAAATGTCAGGGAAATCAGGAGATTCAGG